GCATTCATTCAGAAACACGTGAGCATTGCAAAGAGAAAATGAAATTTATTCTCAATATGATCTTGGTTGCAAATGTTGCAAGTTCTATCTTTTCTATTTTTGTGTGTTGTCCAACTACAATGTTGAGACAATACTGGTCATTAAATGAAACTTGAAAGTGAATTACATAGCTCAAAGTTTTCATAATAGTAGCTGTCTAATTTAGTATTGCACTTACAATTCCTATATGTTTGTTTTTTGTTTGAGTTTGTTTGTCTGAGTGGAATCCATGTGTAATTATCGTTATTAATTTCTTTTAGTCACTTGTTTATAAACAGTTGTTTAGGTAATTTTCATTAAATTAATTGCTTTCAGTAGCGTTTATCTCTCCTAATAGTCATCAATAGATAAAGTTTACATCCTCAATTGGGGATTTTGTCAAAAAAATAGATCTAATATTTAATTGAGCAGTGACAAATACAGAGAAATGCCTAAATTAGTTACAACTAATGTATAGATTCTGCGACTACCATTGAAAATTCAAGATGCATCTTGATTTTTATCAACGGGTCCAACATCTTGGTTGAATTGTCTTTTTCCATTTCTAACTCATTTAACATTTTAAAACTTTGCCAAAATTTTCCTCAGCAATGGTTGTAATCAACTTTTCAAAGTCATTTACAGTGACCAATGTCTCAACATCATCATAAATCAATATACCGGTAATTATGTTCTCTCAAGTTCACCACAGATGGCGTGATTTTAGTTTGTGTCTAGCATTCTGGCAACCAATCTTTGCATGTGCAGAGTTTTTATCCAAATTGGGAGAAAAGTCTTGTTGTGACTCTAGACACGTGCCAAGATCTGGATATCTTTTGTTTCACCATATATGTACTAACAACACATTTAAAGTTAGCCCTGGAACCATGGTGTTGTCAGAATGGGCGTTTTTTATGTTTGGTTGTTGACTGCCTGCTCAACACCGCCATGGACCTTGGCAGCGAACAATAAGGGGATGAGATACATTGAATGTGCATGCATACCTCAGCATTAACCGATGATTGATTCTATGATTGATTGATCCTAACACGATAATTTAATTAATGTAATTAAGATTTTTTCACAGAAACCAATTTGCTGTGCATCCACCATTTTTGACGTTTTTAGCCAGTACCCGAAGAAGAAATCAAATAGACTGATGCATGATATATTTTACGGTTGTTAAGACAAAAATGATTTGTTTGCAGAGGACAAAATTCTAGTGGATTTCGCAAGAATAAATCATAAATACTTTTGAATTTGGTTCATGCCCCAAGTGACTTTATGTCGTAAATAGAGAGTGAATAAATGATGTCATTTCTGAACTATAGAGGGTGCTATACTATGTTGTAGGGTTGAATTTTGAGGATTCTAAAAGCTGGCAATCTGAAGGCAAACAGTTCTAATAGAACAAAATAATGGACTATTTTGAAAAGCACTGGAATATTTCAGGTGTAGTTATTGGTGTTATTTCAATTTGGTATGGTTTTAATACAGACAAATGAATGATCAAGAAACTGAAAAACATTTAATTAATTATTTTTTTATTTTCTTGGTATGCAGACTTAGAATGGGTGCAAAATGTCAAGGTTAATTTGCCTGCAGTAAAGAAACGAGCTGATGAAATTAAGACAAAACGAACTGTAAAGAAACAATGGCAGGTAAGAATTTATTATTAAAATGAAGTGAGTGATTACAAACGTACAAGTTTTGTTTTTTTTTATCACCAGGCTGAAGAGTTAAACATTTACTGGGTTTTAATCATCACCTTGAAAAAAAACTATTTTGCATTTACATTGGACCTGCATTTGTATTGTTTGCCTGTACACTGGGGTACTGTGAAAAAAACAATAAAATGAGTGTTTGCCCTGTTTAATTCCACTTCTGTGTATATGTACAGTATTGCTGTCACATGATCGCTCTAGTGTATTTGACTTCAGGTTTGCATTCCAGCTTCGCTACAATGTGGCATCAGCGTCATTTCCATTTGTGTTCATGTATCTTAACTTTATTGATTTAATTTTACAAGTATTTTATTTTATACTGCTAAGAAACTAGATAAAGTTGATTTTGAACACAATATTGCTGCACATTTTCATTGGATTGAGAATGAACTTTGACCCCTTGTTACACTAGTCAGATAATTGTATGGTAAATGGCAATCACATTTTACAACTAAATTATACATCATGTTATTTATTTTATGTCCTGATGGAAGATAGCTGACTAATTTCAGCTTAGTTTGTTATAATTGTACTAATGGAGACTCTTGACTTCATTAATGATGATCCCACCTGATATATTACTTGAAATTATTTTTTCACAAGGCTGCATGGTTATTAAAAGCAGTAACTTGTATTGATTTGACAACCTTGTCTGGTGATGACACATTTACTAATGTGCAGCGTCTTTGTTATAAAGCCAAGCATCCAATCAGAGCTGATCTACTGAAAGCAATGGACATGCAAGATAAAAGTGAGTATCAGTCATGTAGCATTATTCCACGTGTTTAACACTGAATAGCCATGATAGCTTCAGTCAGCAGAGTTTTGATTTATAATAAACATCAGGTACCGGTAATGCTTAACAGCTTTATGTATCAAATATGTTCTGATTGAAGTTCAATTCTTGATTGAACAATTATTATTATTTTTAGTTCCCTTGCAAGTTTTGAGACAAACATCTCAAAATAAAAATATTGTGTATATTATTTATACATATTAAGTGTTTAAGTTAGTGGTTGTGTTGGAATGCTGATTCAGTATAGCTAGAGTGGCTGATGTTGTAGATA